ATTTTTTTCCCCCGAGGCCCATCTTTGCATCTCCACGCGGCTTTTTTCTTTTGGCCTGCCTTCGAGAAAACACAGTCAAGTTCAACAGCTAGCTTCACAGCCCATTGGAGAGCGGGGCGCTGTACACAAACGAGTCTTTGTCCAACCCACCCCCTGTGCTGCAGCCACACAACCCAAACAGCCCCGTAACACTGCCGAATATCGGCAAGCTGCAGGAGGCGTTGGATCTGCAGTTCCGAGGCTGCAGACATCAAAGGGAAGACGCGGCTGGCAAATGCCTCTCTGTCCCGTGTGGGAGAGTTCTTAAACAAAGGCTGGAGAGGCCGAGCCACCCTCTTCTCCCCTCCTGGCCTGTCTCTGCAACATGATGAAGCCAGTCCCCAGGCAGCGCAAATAGACCACTAGAAATTAATAGTGCTATCAGGATACATAACAAGGCTTTCCTCGGATGGTGAAGTAACAAACAGAGAATTTGCTGGCAGGCCTACAGAACAGTAGTATCTTTGCAAGATGCAGTTATTTATTTCCCTATAGCAGCACCTTTAAAACATCCACTCTCACAGATTTAACTCCGCACGGGGGGGGGGGGGGTCAGCTCACCAGCCCCATCCTCGAGGAAATGACCAGGCTTAACAAAGGCCCGGAAATGCAGTTCAGAAAGAGGAGCTTTTGGTTACAAAAGGCACGAGCAGGAATGAACGAGGGCATCAGATTCATATCAACTGGGAAAACTAGATAATTTCACAGCAAAGAATTTTGTTCTCATCTCTTCCAGTTCTTCCTTTTATACTGTCCCAATTTTGATTCATCAGTTGTTAGGACCAGGCATCGGACTTGTGCTCAGCCCCCTCCAACACACTGACCTGGCAGGCCTATTGCCATTTCACACACTGCATGCTGCACAGTGCTGTCCAGGGCAGCACAGACTGAAGGACTCCATTGCAAGGGCACAAGCCAACCACAGGGGCAGAGCAGAACGGTCTGGCCCACAATAGTGGCTTCACTATTAAGCCTACAAAAGAGTCAATCCAATCAACACAATTCACAACATGTTCATTCCATCTTAAGTAGCTTCCAAACTACTATATTCACTTAATATACAATATATAACATACAGAGCCCTGGAAACTATGAAGAGGGAGTCAAAGTTGGATATAAAATACCAGAGAGACATGAGAAGCCCAAAGATGTGTAAACTTGAAAGACATCAGAGGGCAGTTGCGTGTTCATATTGTAACCTGCAACTGGCTGGAAAGTGTCACCAAAGCACAAGAACAAATGCACTTCAAATGCAGGGCAAAAGGGCATCTAGTACACCTTTCTGTGCTCCAGGGATGTTTTTCTTTAGTTACATGAAACATCTTTTGCTAAAGATAACTATGAGGATGTTACAGCATTCAACATGCAAAACAAGATAAAGAAACAGAAAAATAAAGCAAGATAAAGCAAAGGGATAATGCCAAAGTTATACACGCAGGCAGCAGATGCAAAAACGCCCACACTCCCACCCCTGGCCAGTATCTAACATGATTAGATTTCCAACTGCACTCCTCATGCGCGTTTCCACACTTTGTTGTGGAAAAACCCCATTGTTTGTGTTCTCGTTGGCCCGGCCAGCAGAATAGCAAACACCAGAGCTTCCTCCTGGCAGACAATGAGAGCGCACCATGCGGGAATCAGGATCCCAGGCACAGGGAACAACTGGGAAAAACAGAGCTGGAGTGAAGATGTCAGATCAAACACCCAAAACCCAGTTAACAGCACAGACATCAGCGCTTCTTTCCATTATCTCCCATCCTTAACACTGTTTTAGTACTGGTGCCCATCAAACTGCATCCCTTATGCATAAACTCAAGCCTTGAATTCTACTTTCAGAGCTCAGGAAGAGTGCCCTTAAGTCATTTCCTCTATTAAATACATACAGCTGATTAATTACTTCTGCCCCTCAAACGTACTGAGCGCCACTGCTCCCAATTCTCCCAAGGAACTTCTGAGCTGTAACCATTTAAACTCTTACTAGACACAACCAGCAGAACCCTCACTGACAGAAGGTGACAGAATCAGACAGGCAGAACACGTGGAGCAGGGAAACAGCCCACAGTGGCCACTGACTGGAGCAAAGAGGAACCCAATGCTGTTGTTGTTTCTGAGCTAAGGATTAGCAGCCCAATCCTCCAGCAGTGCCTGAGGCAGTTAATCACAGAGCCTGACATCGAGCTGCTCCTTACTCATCCCCCCATCACCCTCACGTGTCCGACTGAGCAGACAGTGCCGAGCGGTATCCCTCTCCGGCCTGGCTGTGCAGGACCCGGCACTGCAGCGCGACCACACCACCTCCAAGCCAGGAACACCGAGCTGCTGGCTTGTCCCCATACAAGCGGAAGAGACTCTCAGCACCTTCCCCCAGCCCAGTCTGTGACATCAGCCCACAGCTGTAACACACTGTCCTCACCCAGCTACCCTGTTGGCCTCCACCAGCACCACTGCTCTGAAAACCGACAGCAGGTGCAACTGACCACACCACCCTGAGCAAACCTTCCTGCTCAGATCTGAAAAAGGACGACATGTTTATCGGATCAACAGATGACGGATCAGCAGGACGAATAAAAAGCGTCAAATGCCCTCATCCTGCCTCCCGCCCACCTTTGCTCTAAGCACAAAGCTCTCCAGGGTTATTACACCTTGCAGGAGGCTGCAGGAAATCAGGGGGTCAACACCGGATATAGGCCTCAAGGCCTTGACAGGTCAAGAGAACGGACATCTTCACAACGAACTGGGAATCGCAAACCAGAGCAGACAAGTGGAAACAAGTTACCCAGCTATGTGGTTGACGCCAATAAACTGGTTTCTTTCAAGAAACAACTGGGATGAGAAAACGTTCGTATGTAGTATACCAATCTCATGAAAACACATAGGGCAGATTTTACGGTAATACTGCACAAAGCCTGCAGGACAGCTTCATCTTTCAGACACCACAGAGATTCAGCAGAACATGTGAGCAATGCAGCAAGATCTGCTGAACTGGTCCCCGCCACCTGTCCATCTGCACAAGAAAGACAGTCATATAAGACTGGTGCGACAAGCGGATTTAATTAACACCAAACCCCACCGTAAGGGTGAAGCCAGACAGGCTCATTCCATAGCCCCTGGTACTATCACTATCACTGAGCTCCTCTCCCTCCCCCTCCGAGTTACAATACAGAAAAAGAAACCTATCCGTTTCCTTCACACTTCAGGCCTCTGTGACTTTAATAGTAAGTGCATGACGATGACTCTCGGTACTATAAATGTAGACAAACTGGCTGACGTGAAGCCAAGCCTGTGAGGCCAAGTTAACACAACGTTGCAGTGCTGTATGGTACGGAAGAATGTTTTCAGGAACAATAGTCTCCAAATTGAGAAATTCGTTAAACACCTGCAAGTGGAATGACATGTTGGATTGCAAAAACGAAATACTATTATTAGCTTGAGATAAAATTAAACATTTTCAATTACAAACCCATCTAACTCTCCACAAAAGTAATGACAACACCAGTACTGTGCACTGGGAAACACAAGAAACCTATCCAGTGCCATTTCTGAAAGCGGTTTGAACCAAATAAAAATGTCTACCATTCGCAGAAGGCTAGGATTATTACACCAAGAGAAAATACTCATCACCAGTCTCTGTCAATCACACTTCCGACTGGACATATGAGCAAAAAACACTTGCTTTCCTGTGCATGTTTGCTTAACCTTGGACTTATCTGATTTCAGTCATTCTATTGGAAAATATTTGTTAAAAATCCCAAGACATTTTCCACTTCAGATCAGACCTACACAACACCCTTAGTGCTGTCAGGGGTTCATGTTCCCTCAAAGGCAGTGACGCATTCAACCCAGCAACATTCTTCAGAATGAACAGTGAAACACCAACCAGAGGTACTTCTTTACACAAAGGAACAGAAATTATCAATCCCAAAGAGTAAGCAAATCAACGGCTAGAATGCAGAAACCCTAAAGGTTTAATCACTAAAGCAATTTGAGGAGAAAGAAAGCACTTTATAAAGTAGTAAAAATGGAACAGGTTCCAGTTCAAGTCTCAGAGGAATCAGTCCAGGAAATGGAGAGAGCCGATACATCACTATTTGACTCCGGTATTTACAGAGAAAAAGGGTTAGATCTTCTGTAATATATCAGAGTTCTTTGAACAATCAGCAGTAATGGATAGAGATCATAAAATTTACATGAGTGGAAAGCTTTTGACAAAGTTCCTCATTAAAGTTAATTCTAATAACACAGACAACAGACACTCAAAGTAATGCATGCCCTTGGGTTCAGAACAGGTTAATGGACAGAAACAATTAGTACAGAAAAAAAGTACGACTGCTCAGACTGGCATTGGTACAGATGTAATTAGTGGAGTAGCATAAGAATATGTATCAGGATTGCCGCTCTCCCTAATTTTTAACCAGTGATCTAGGTTCCGGTATAGTTCACAGTCAAATGCACAGATGATATCACAATACAAGGATTAGCAAACACTGTAGAAACTGCAAAGGAATGGTAAAGAGACTTTAGCCAAATTTAACTGCAACGTGTAGTGGGAATCTGGAATAAGCTGCCCAGCATTGCTGTCAGAGCCAATAAGAGCCTCTGGCTTCTTTCAAGACACAGCTGAATGAGATCCTCCAGTCAGAAGAGGAGGTAGATTTGTGTTCTTCACACAAATGGTGATGGGTGTCTGCCACAAGCTGCCCAGACATTTTGTTGAAACTGATACCCTGGGATTCTCGCAAGAAATGGACAGATGACCTTCGCTTAGTTAGATGGGCCAAATGGCCTCCTCTTCTCTGTGACCTTCCTAAGGTTCCAATCAGACTCTATATGTAATAGGAATGTAGTGATACGAGTGCCAAAGCCCACAGTCGCAACGCTGGGGAGGCACAGCAGAGCCGATCCGAACCGAACGGGCCTGGGAGACCCAGACAAGGGGGCGAGAGAGACGCGGGGGTACTCACATCCTGCCGACGCCCTCGTACATGCGCGTGTCCGCGGGCAGGGTGGTGACCTCCGTGTCCGTCAGGTGGGCGTGTTTCTTCATGCGGCTCAGCTGCTCGATCTGCAGGTCCGCCAGCTTGACCTTCTGCTGGGTGTCGATCACCTTCGCCTGCAGCTCGGCAAAAGCCTGCGGGTCACACCGCATCACGTCACACCGCGGCCACTCGCAGGCAGGAGGTCTGCCGTCGTCCCGCGTGGCGAGGCACTGTGAGCCGGGTTCGGAGGCACTGTGAGCCGGGTTCAGAGCTGCTGCCTTGCGGGGCTGTATGTTCTCCCCGGATTCGTGTGGGCTTCCTCCCACAGTTCAGAGACATGCTGGAAGGTTAGCTGGCTCCTAGGACAGCTGGCCTTGGTGTGAGTGTGTGTGTGTGTATCAGTGTGTGACTGGCATCCCGTCCAGGGTGTATCGCACTTTGCACCCACTGTTTGCCGGGATAGGCTCCAGCATCCCCGAAAACACCGAGCTGGACAGAGTGGTTAGAAAATGGATGGATGTACAATTATGCACTGAGTGCAGAATAATGAGATTGTAATAATTAAACAGAATAAGCATTATTTAACAAACGGGCAGGTGTAGCTGCTACAAGGGTAATTCAGATCTCCCACGTTATAGAAGCATAGTTTTTTAGTCGATGTTGGTAACGACCGCGATGAGATGCAACACATACGCGGGGTGTCGGTTCTTGGCCTGACTCACGTTTCGTGTAATCACGACAACCTGAACACTGGGCATCCTGCTGCTGGGACTCTACTAATCTACACTATCGCGGAGGAAATAATCGTTCTATTTCCGAAAGCAGAATGACATCTTAAAACACTTAACAAAGGAGATGTTTGGCTATATTAAAAACAAACTGACGCACGCTGCACGAACCAGATAATACGACATTAATTTAAAAATCTAATAATGGTAAAATCACGCAATTAAAAGACAAAACAGGTATGACTTTAAGCTAGCTAGCCTTTTTCAAACTCAGAGGTCCTGTACACGCTTTCTCTCCACCACACGCTTTGTGACAGGATTAAAGGGCTGTCTCCCCGTTTTAAAACCATCAAAAGGCTACGACATGAGAGATAAAGTTACCAGAAACTAAAATGCTGCCGTTGAGAATGACCAACCGTTATCGTATAAGAATGAAATAAAACATTTTACCTTTTTCAACTCGAGATCTACGGGGGCTGCCATGTTGGAGAGGTGAACGCATGCGCAGTGAGTCCTTATCGGTTGCTAGGCTGCATGCCGGCAGCTCGAGTCATTACGTCATGCAGAGACGGTCTTACCTCGACCGCGTGTTCAAACGCCTTGTTACAGTCGTACATAGTAAAAGTACGTTTCACAACAGTGTGGCTTAGCTTTATTTTGCATAAAATGGAGCAATTCAATGTGAACGTCTATATCTGAATAATTCATAATGCTTAGAAAGTGCATTCATATTAGTAGCATGACAGGTTGGACGAAATTGGTTTTGAGACATTGACATGAAGTGCAGCCATCCTTGATCTGCTGTCTCTGACTCCTGCCGGTCCCAGCCTGTGCTGGCGAGCTCTGCCCTGCTCCCTCACGGCCTGCTTTTCTAAAATTACACACGCCGAATTTAGACCTCAGTCTTTAGATTTAAAATGAATCTAAATATAGATAGGTACTATATTATGGTCTCAATTTCCCCGTGTCTGTATCGCCTCTGTTCCCTTGAATATGTCCCGGTTGTTTGAGAAACTAGGTCAATAAGACCATCTTCCTTAATAGGCAACCATGCAACCTGAGAGAGAAGCAGTTATCGACCAAATGAAGCACATCCATTTCACGATCCCCATCGTAATATCCCGGTGTGTTCTGGAAGATGGAAACCTCCCTGTAGGATATCATATAAAGTATAAATGTGTACCTATTCCTAAAGATGGGGAAGATGGTTAAGTCATGAATCTGGAGGTGAGAGAGTATTCAGGTTTATGCCCCAAACTGTCTATAAAATTCCATCTTGTCCATCCAGCTTCTCACGGCTTTATCCTACACTGTGCAGGAGGAGAGCCAGCGCCCATCCCAGCAAGCAGCAGACTGAGGGCAGAGCTTTCCCTGGACAGTGCGACAGCCCTTCGCACTCTATGAAATGTTTTAATATTCTAATATTCGATCGATCATGGTAAAACTGCCTTCAGAAAGGAGTGATTTGATGGTTTGACAACCCCCGCCTGACAGCGCTCTCTGGGACCCGGGCTGGACGCCCCTGCTGTAGGCCTCCGGTCAGCCACGCTGACCACGCTGACTCCGCTGAAGCCAGGCAGAGCTGCGCTGGCTAGAAGACGGCCCGCGGGCCGGCCCGGCTCAGAGCTGACACCGGGAGCGTGCGGACACACCGCCCTTGACAGGACTGTCTGGGACGGAGCAGTGCCCGGCCCAGCGTATCGACTGGACACTGAACATCTGACCAAAAGTAATGAACACAGTTCAAAGTCGAGAAACGGTTAAAAGTCTCTAGTCAAGTGTGTCCATGGCAGCAATCGCAAAATTTGGAGTGGAATGTGATCCAGGTTGTATAACCGGTGCAATCAGGAGAAGCCCCTGCTCCTTGTGGAAAATGTCTTGACCAGTGCTCAAGAAAACACACGTGATTGGAGACTTCCTAATACTGAATCTTCAAATGTAGCTGTAGATTTTTCCAGTCATCCGAATGTGAAGTGAACGCCTGTGTTCTGGATCCCAGTGGGTTACTGCTGACCGCACACAGGTCCAACACGAGCTCCTGTGGCACCTCTGTCGGTCCTCAGCCTTCGCTGCTGTCGTCTGTCTCGCGGTGGCAGTGCGCGTGGTTTCGGCAGCTCGCCCTCCACCTGTGTGGGCTGGGTGACGCAGCCCCCCTCCAGCTGGGCCGGCCCCCCCACTCTGGGCCGGTGCCGAGGTCGCGGGCCCGGGAGCAGGGTGCAGGTGTGGGGAGACCACAGGCCTTGGCCAAGCTGCAGATCTGTCATGTTTCCACTCAAGGAAGAAAGAAGAGCCTGAAGAAACACACGGACTGGGAGCTGCTATCTTTCAGCAAATAATAAAGGGATATTCGGCGGTTCAGGCAAGGAGTGATACAACCGACGAAGCAAGCCAAATGAATGTTAAGGGATTGCGTCAGTAATTTCCTAGTGTTGGGGGTTAACTCTCCTGGCTGAGGAAGTGACATCACTGGCGGAGGCCCAGAGCTGCTGTCACGACCCCCCTCACTTGCGAGGGATGAACCAGCGAGGCAGCTGCAGGAGTGGAGTTGTGGCGCAGGGAGGAGTGTAGAAAAGATGGGCGCAGAGTTGTGCACAGGAGCCAGGTTTTTTTACTGAAGAGCAAGTTTACAGTTTGACCTCATCCTGAAATTCTAACAGCCCCGTTAGTAACAGCATGTGTGACAAGACACTTATTGGGCACACTTCAAACTTTTACCATGGCTTGACTGTGTTTTACTACTCTGGACCATGGGAATGCTGTGGTTTAAGAATAGTATTTCCATGGAGTATTTACTCACATGCACCACAGTAAATCCACGAGGCAAATGGGAAAATCCTATGGTAAATATATTGCAGTAAACTCTCAGATGGGCACCTATTCCATTCTTGTGCTGAGACCCTTTTCATTGATGGGAAGAGGACAAGACCCCTAAGGGCCACTGTAAATAAAGTAATCCTCAGATTAAATAGCTACGGAAAACTATATGAATAAGATCGGCCTGTTTAACCAAAGACCATAAGTCTTTTTTTAAAGTCTGCCTTTTCCAGTTCAGCTGAGTTATTAATGTCCCAGCTGAGACAATAGCCAAGCCTTAACCGGGCTCGACAGGAAATATCTCCAGTCAAAATCAAAATGCGTCGCTCCTCTTTCATGTCAGGAAATGGTGGTTTGCTCTGTTTTGAAACCCAGGATGCTCACATTGTGCTGTGCTGTATTTTCTGCAGCACTTGCATGGTGTGGCAAGAAGTTTATGAGAAATCAATGTGACAATAAACACCAGCTTCCAGTTTGTGACATCAGTGGTGTACAACAGGATGCCCAGAAGTGAAGGAATACAGGCCATCTCAAGAGTCCTTCCTGACAGCTGCGCTCATGCTCAGTGCAGAATTCAACCACAGAGCATCCTGGGACTGTTTGGTTTATTCCTGCTGCTTCTGAGACCATGAGCTGGTCCTGTCTGCAGACTCACTTGCATGAGTGAAATGTGAATTCTCCTGTCGTCGTCAGGTTGAATTCACATTGAAGCTGTGTGGCTGGAAGTGAAGGAAGCTGTGTTTTGCATCAGAGAATTGGGAAAGGCTTCACAGCAACTGGATTACAAAAGGACCGTTTTGTGGCGTAACACAAGCCGGGCGAGGACCAGCCTGATCCTACCAACCGCTCCCTTATGTTCAACACGGTTTTGCAATAATTTGCTGAGTTTATATACAATGTCTTAGTATTTCACTCCAGCAATCTCCTTTACTGCATTTCATGCAGAAAGTACCCAGCCATTTACATTGGGGAAACTGGACTGGCCAGCCATTTCAGGAAACCTGTCAGAGCAGTTGGATCCAGAGACCTGCCTAAGCCCAGAGCCCCACAGTCTGCTTCCCCATGCTCATGAGCACTGACCATTCCACACACCCCTGG